AGTCACAGACACACAGACACACAGACACAGACACAGACACACAGACACACAGACACAGACACACAGACACACAGTCACAGACACACAGTCACACAGACACACAGTCACAGACACACAGACACACAGACACAGACACAGACACAGACACACAGACACAGACACACAGTCACACACAGACACAGACACACAGTCACAGACACACAGACACAGACACACAGTCACAGACACAGACACAGACACAGAGACACACACACACAGACACAGACACAGACACAGACACAGACACACAGACACACAGACACAGACACACAGACACACAGACACAGACACAGACACACAGTCACACACAGACACAGACACACAGTCACAGACACACAGACACAGACACACAGACACACAGACACAGACACAGACACACAGACACAGACACACATGATAATCACGGACGTAGAAACAGTTCTTTCTTTATCAGGAAGTTTCCTCCTGAACGTGTCAAGAAAAAGAGAAAAAGAGAAAAATGATTTCAGAGAAACTGAAGACATCATGAAGATCGTTCAACAAATATATGGACTTGATTGAACATGTGACCTGATCATCCAGAAACGTTAGAAACAATCGTTACATTTCAAAACAGAGGATGTGGCTCCCTCTGCTGGTCATGTTTGATTCCTGCTTCTGTCCAACCTTTATTTTTATCTGATGTGACTGAGGGAGACCCCCCCAGAATCACATCACCTCTGTGTGTGTGTGTGTGTGTGTGTGTGTGTGTGTGTGTGTGTGTGATATAAGGAGGCCATGGTGCGTTTCCCTCTGAAGGAGGTCCAGTCGACTCGCACCCAGAGACCGACGTCAGGCTCCAGTTACCCGTATGTGGAGATCATGATAGGAGACCTGCTGAACCAGAGCATCACTCAGCTACAGCTGGAGCAGGTAGGTGTGTGTGTCTGTGTGTGTGTGTGTGTGTGTTTGTGATTGTGTGTGTGAGTGTGAGTGTGTGTGTGTTTGTGTGTGTCTGTGTGTGTCTGTGTGTGTGTGTGATATGATATTTGTTTGTGTATTTCTCTCCCTCTAACTGCTGTTTTGGTGTATGTTTGTGTGTGTTTGTGTGTGTGTTTGTGTGTGTGTCTGTTTGTGTGTGTTTGTGTGTGTGTTTGTGTGTTTGTGTGTGTGTTTGTGGTCTGCAGGGTCTGGAGTTGTGCAGAGTCGTCGCCATGCACATGGAGAACATGTTGTCTGTCAGAGAGAAGAGACTGACTTTACCACCGAGTGAAATCACGCTGTTATAGAGCAGAGAGACGTCTTCACTCACAGTCTGAAGGTCATCTGTTCTTCTGAAGATCTGAGCAGGTGGTGCTGATGTTGATGACTGCACCTTTAATCTGGTTGGGGTTAAATTGTAAAAAGTTTTGACATAAAACTACAAAGTCAAAGTTATTCTGTTCAGTTTACTATGACAAAGAGATCAGCTGATGTTTGCATGAAACTCCTCGATTTTGACACACTTGATCCTAAACTGATAGATTAATAATCCGGGATTATCAATCTGAACCCAGACTGAACTCCTTCATGTTTTAGTTTGATTCTTCTCTGCCATCATAGAGAAAATCTGTAAACAGAAAAATGACCTTTAACCCTGAAATGTGGATTTTAAAGGACAGGATTTGGTTCCTGCACCGCAGTCTGATCTTTACAAGGAACCTGAAGATGTTTGAGGTTGGAACATTTTTAACGTTTTCCACCCTGGACCTTCATGCAAACGTTGGAAAACCATTTGAATTTAAACCGTAGATAAAAAAGAACGACAGACTGGATTTATTTAGAAATCTTCAGGTTTGTCAGATTACAGGATAATAAATGAAACTCGTTTTACAGCCACATCAGGAGATTTTTGTACCAGTGAAGAGGATCATTTTTACAGTTCATCAATATTTAGATAATAAAAAGCAGTTGTGAAAGAAAAGTGAAGATGCACATTAAAGTCTGTAGAATTATCTTAATGTGTGAATCTGATTATTTCTGAGCTCATGTTTCTGATGTTTGTTTTACTTGGTGTCTTCAAAGAAAAATAGAAATATATTCTGTCAGCTTTTGTGTGTTTTAAGAAGTTATCTGTTTGAAATCAGTCGTTTCATAAATCACTGAAAACTAATTAAATTAAATAAATTAAATTACCTGAAGACTAAAGGTCCTTACACTCCGGGGCCGACGTGAATTTAGAACAGAAATTATATTTGGAGGTGAATTTTGACGCGCCTGACTAAACACGTCAAACCTGATGAGATTTTGTTTGTTTGTGTTTTTTGGACAGACGTTCACCTTCTGAAAAGAATATTTCCTTTCCTGGAAAAGAATCCGAGCTGCAGCTTTTATGTACTGGAGGGGCATCAGGAGGACGTCCAGAGGGAATAATGGCCCCAGATAAGCCCGATAAAGCATATCTGTCATCTGTCTTACACATTTAAAGTCGTTTACCGTCATTAAACAAAATCAAAACAACCCGCAGACGATCATTTATAATAAACACTTTAAATTGATCAGATAACATCAGAATTAAAGTCTTTTTTAGATTTAAAATAAAACTGAAACCACAAGTGAAGGTGCAAACTTGAAGCTTTAATTTCATACGAGCCTGAACAAAAGTTTTATGCACTAAAAGTAAAAAAAAAAGAAGTTTAACTGAGTTTAATAAAACTTTTAAATTTGCACTTGGTCTCACAGTCGGCCTTCAACGTTAAAGAGCCACAGAAATAAACTCAAAACTGTTTTATTTTCACATCCATGAGAAACTTACAGACCGAGGATCATTCTTTGGTTTGACAGTTTCAGCCTCACATGAATATAAAACATGTCAATCATAATAATAATAATCTTATTAGGACTGAGAGGCTTTCTGCTGTTTTAATATCTCACTCCAACACAAAGATTATATTTAATATACATGATAATAAGCTGTAAAAAAACAGACTTGCATATTAGTTACAGTACATGTTTGAGGTTAATTTGATGAATATAAGAACTTGAGGTAAATGTGGATTATTAGAGGCTTAAAGGTTAAGAAATAAAAGGCAGCTTAATGAGGAGTCCGAGTCTAACTGATGGTCTTTAAAAACGGTTTTTAAGTTTTGGTTCAACTGAATTTTAATCAAGTTTAATTAGTGAAACTGAGAAAAAGAATCACTGTAACAGTTTCACAGACAGATATATGAATATTGTTGTCGATAAATGTTTCCCACTACGTCTGAACCATCTAAAACATATGAAATTATTCTTCTTTAATTTTGGAAATGTGATCAGATTTATAGTGAGGTGTGGTCTGAGGAAGTCTCTGCAGCTCGGTCATGTTGGTGTTTTTTAATCGTTTATTAAAATCTGAACTTCGACGTCTGAGTGTCTCTGAAATATTCTGCTCCCTCTGATCTGAAGGTTTCGATTAGTCCTGTTTGGATTTTCTAACCCTGTTGTAAACCGGGTCGGCTCTTTGACCCGGGCGCCCTGATGACACTCGTGTCCGCTCTTTAGGCCGACGCCTCTGTGTAGCTCAGGCTCCTCCTCCCCCAGTGACTCTCTGGGACGGGGAAATCCTTCCTGACCACCGGCTCCACCGTCAGCTCCAGCAGGCCCGGCGGCTCCGGAACCATCAGCTCAGTTATTCTGTAAAGGTTGGAGTACGCCCGGCCCACCAGGACCGGCTGACCCGGGGGGATTCTGGGGTCAGGTCCCCTCAGACGTCTCCAATAAACCCTGAAGTGTCGTACCGAGTGGGCGGGGTAATCCCAGCGTAGAGTGGCGTTCAGGAGCAGACCAGGAGAGGTGGACTCGAGGGAGGAACCGACACCACGAAACCACACCACATCGTAAATGCACAGACCCTGGACCAGGTCTGGAGGGACCTGCAGAGTGGAGACGTCCAAGAGCTGGGACAGGAAGAGGAGAGAGGACATTAAAGAGGACGTCTCGGGTAAATTCATGTCAGCGAGGAGCTGAAGTTCAGGTCAAAGAAAGACGGGGTTAGGGTCTCCAGGGAGACTTTTCAGGAGCTGAGACCAGAACAGAAAAACCTCATCAGATTCTGGTCCAGAGTCCAATTCTGGACGTTCTGAGGACGATCTGGAACATTCATGTTTGGACGCTCATAGAGGTGGGCGATCTGTGAAAAAGTTTATCACGATATTTTTTTATATCAGTTTTTATATCGATCAATATCAGGATATAACGATGAACGATAACAGTGTTTATTAACGGGTGTCTTTTAACAGACACACACACACACACACACACAGACACACACACACACACACACACCTGACCGCTCTAAACCTGCTGAATCCTGGAGAAGAAACTTTTCTCCTTTTTAAAGCCGACTTCAGTAAAAACACGTCGATCATGTTTTATTTTGATAATTTTCCACGTATATTTTTGTCGTTTTTTCTCAAACTTCAGCCTGACTAACTTTAACGTTTCTTTCTGAGAGACTTTTCTGTGTTTCTACTTTTCAGTCTGTTCACAGAATTGATCAAATTTAACGTCTTTAGGGTTTGATGGAGTAAAGTTGTGGTTCTGGTATCAAACTCATCATCACCAGGATCTGTCCCAGCCTGCAGCTGAAGTGTGTGTCCTCCGGCTCTCCGTCCCTCTGGATACTCAGACAAACTTCTCTGAGGGCACAACCACGGAGCTCCAGCTGAGAACACCTGAGCACAGAGACGAGACAGCAGCTTCACATCAGAGCCTAAAAACAGACGGACCTCATCGAAGCTTTAAGGCAACGTTACCTGACAGTCCAGTCTGAGGGAACCAAGTTCCCACACAGCTCAGTGAAACGTCTGTGGAGCTGATGTCCTTCATCGAGACGCTCAGGAGACACACTGCTGACTGTGGAGACACACGGAGGACAGACGAGAACAACATGTCTGAACATTAAAAATAAGACTTTTCAAGGCTTTTCAAGGACCTGCCTGAACCTTCAAGAACATCAGGAGTTGAAACTGGAGTCTGGAAAACTCACCCTGAATATTCTGCATGTCTATGTGCGTGCACAGGTTGGCGTCTGCCGTCTTCAGCTCCAGGTTGACGGAGATCCCTGCAGACGGTTTGTAGACGACGCTCAGCAGAGTCTTTTCAGCCAGAGGAACGTGGAGCGAGAAGATCCTGAGAGACGCAGAAGAAGAGAGAGACTGAGTGTGAACTCTGAGAGCTGAGGAGGAGGAGGAGAACGATGAAGGAGGAGAGGAACGAGCAAACACACACGCTCACTTTGCACAGACCGGAGAGGTGTGTGAGGAGGGGATGAGGCCCTCCAGCACCAACGAGCGACCGCCGCTCAAGGCGTCCTCGGGGCAGCCGCGGCTCCTCAGCCAAGCTCCGCCCTCCAGCTCTGTGTGGTAGTAGAGAGGCTGGATCTCCTGAGCGCTCAGGTTGAACCAGCTCCTCTCCGACTCACGCTGCAGAAACACACAAACCAACAGCTCCTCAGTCAGTCTGCTCCAGGAAGGAGATCCAGGCGCTCCTCTCTGTTCTTACCTTTCCTCTCCAGTAGAGGTCCTTCCCAAAGCCCTGACAGAAGGAGGAGATGAAGGGGAGGGACAGAGATGGCCGATGGACGTACAGAGAGTCGGACAGAAGAGCCCAGAACCTGCCGAGATCAAACAGGACTTTAATTTCACCCTCACAGAAGATCGTCATGAAATCTCTGAGCGCCGACGTCTGTCTGCAGATTCATCTTGTTCTACAGCTGGTCGTGAAGAAAAGCCGTCAGCATCTCTCTGCTGCACAGAGCTGTGATGATGAGCACTCTAATCCTGACCGAGCTCAAACTAATCCACATAAACCATGAACGACGTGGGAACATGACGCAGCGTTTCTCAGGAACGCAGCGTCATGTTCTCCTCGTCTTTGAGTCTCACTTGTCCTGATTTCGGGGGAACTCGCTCTTGTCCTCGTGGGTCTCGTACACCCAGCCTGGAGCAAAGATGGCGACAGAGAAGTTGTGTTTCCGGATCACGTCCAGCGCCTGCAGAAACAAGAGAGTTCCTGCTGTCGGCCATCTTTGAACCATCAGTCTCTAACGGCGTCACATGACTCCACTCTTCTCACCTTATTCGTCTCAAACATCCCGCCCACCACCTGACCTCGGGCGAACACGTCCACCCCGACGTAGACGTCAGCCTGGCGATCTCCGAGCCCGCCGAGGTCCTTCATGGCCTCCAGGTTCTGCTCGGTCCAGTTGTAGTTTGTGAAGAAACCGTCGCAGGCATCGAAAAATATCCTGTAACAGACGAGAGAGAAGATCAAACGTTCACAGAACTCATCCTTTCATCGCCGTCATCAGAGCGTCATGTTTCCACAAACTCAAGGGGTCAGAGTCCGTCAACTTCTCCACCTGTTCTTCTGGTTGAGCTCATTCTGCCACTGCAGATGTCCCGAGTCGATCACGCTGTCGTACCATAGGACCAGACCTCCTGACACCCTCAGGTGCATCTGGTCCGTCAGGTAGCGCAGGAACAGAGGCGTGTTGTTCACCGCGACCTCCTGCAGGTAGAAAAGATTTTACTGGAGGTCAAAGTTCACGTCTGTTGCGGTCTGACAGGAGCTGAACTCACGCTGAGGCTGTTCTCGATGTTGACCAGCCAGCCGTCAAAACCGTAACAGCGGCTGATCTGGACCAGTTTATCCGCCACGGCGCGGTACGACTCCTCGTCTTTCAGGAAGGACTCGCACATCGTTTTCCCGTCCGTCCACTCCGTGATGAACGTCCCTGAGAGCAGAAAAAAAAACAGTAAAAATCCAGTTTGAGTTTCTTCTGAACCCCAAACATCTTAAATACGTCAGACTTTCTTCACCGATCATGACGACTCCGTGTTTGTGAGCGGCGTTGGTCCACACGGCGGGAGGAATAGTCACCAGGTTGTGTGTGAAGTAGTTGAAAATATCGATGTACTGCCAGTGATAGAAGACGTACGGCGCCACGGAGTACGTCCCCTGAATGAACCTGCACATCAGGAGAGAGAGGGAGCGGTTCACGGAACAGCAGAAGAAGAAATCAACGACTCACATGGACGTCATGTCTGAGGGCAGAGACACCCGTGAAAGCGGCGTCCACACCTGTCCTCCAGGTAACCTCCCATCATGTCATGTGACACCAGCGTGCGACGTGGGGAGGTGGCCAGGGGAGGTTCGCGAGGAGCCAGGGGGACCGACGCCACATTGAAGGGGTTTGCCTCGCTTCGTTTCCATGACAACAGATCATCCATAGTGGTGAGGCCACAGCTGATCGGCTCTGTGGTGTCGATGTCGTAATGTTTGACTGAAGAGGAGACAGAGAGGAGGTGAAAACGGAAGAGTAATCAATAATCAATAATCCAAACGAAGCTCAGGTCTGATCAGACTCACCTGGCAGGGAGGACGGGGTGAACTTGATGACCTCATGGATGCTACCTGAGTCCATCGGCTGATCCAAACAAGACTCGAGGCTGAGGAGAGGCGGAGGTGTTAAAGGGATATTAATTCAGGGTCAAACCCACCGTAACACCGAGTTAGACCCCGCCTCCAGAGATGAATGTTGTCGACCGCTTCCTTCTCTAGTTATACCAACTTTAGTAACGACCGCAGGATAGAAATACAGAGAGACACGCCCCCAACCAAAACGCCACTCTATAGCCACAAATAATGCTCAGAACAGCACCTAACTTCATCAACAGGACATATAGGGTCACAGACATAGTACTAGACACCAAACATCTTTTTAACTTTGACTCATTTCTTTAGCAAAGAGACTAAACACAACTCACCTACTCTCTTCCAGCAGACGCTTGTTTGTAGAGAGACCTCAGGCCAGTCTATTACAGACTACAGCGGGGTGCCGCAGCTGTGTTTAGTCTCTTTGCTAAAGAAATGAGTCAAAGTTAAAAAGATGTTTGGTGTCTAGTACTATGTCTGTGACCCTATATGTACTAACCTCAGTAGATCATGCTGTAGTTCCGTTCAGTAACAGAACCTCATTGGAAAATTAGCTGATTTAACTTTACTGCGCTCTTGTTCAGATATATTAAAACAGGAGACACCAAAACTGGTCTGACGGACCCCCCACAGGGGTCTCTGTGGACCCTTACAGACACAGTTTGCAGAGTGACAGAGCAAACTAAAGTGAAACTCGGACAGGTGACTTCAGGTGAGTTCAGGAGAACATCGTTACCTGCTGACGTCACTTTTGCCTCTCTTCACGAGGACGTCCTCGCGCTCCTCTCCGTCCTCCCGTTTCCTCCGCGGAGGTCGTTCGTTCAGGTCTGCGTTCATGGCCATGACTGAGAGTTTATCCGAGGTAGCATTGAAGGAAGGAGTGAACAAGGAAACAGTCCACACTACCGGCAGCGGTAGCCAACACTTCCGACCCCGGCCTTTCAAAATAAAAGCGTTAAAAAATAGCGGATGCGTGTTTGGAGCGTGGCAGCAGCGTCTCGTATCACAGAGCAAAGCGTGAAGGACGCGTCTCAGCTCCGTCACAGCTCCGTATAGAGAGCAGCTCTGCTAAAGAGACGCGGCGAGTCGATTTTTGCTGTTCTAAGCTTCCAATGAGCGTCAATCCACACAGAGAAGATCGTTCTAGACAGGAAGTCAAGCAGGAAAACCATCCGGTGTTTCAAAATAAAACCCCATCTGCGAACTCCTGACTGTGTATCAGTTGATGTAGATGAGAAACCCTTCCTGGTTCTGGATTTATCAGGAACACAGAACAATCTGATGGTCGATCCCTGATCCATGTGGACCCCAACAGGACTTTGACCTGCTGTCTGAGCAGAAAGGAACAGAGTTTACTTTATTAAACATGAATAAACCTGCAAAAACACAAACTGGAAAATCACTTCAAGCTTTTTCACAGACAGTCGAGGATCAACAGTCACTGAATTATATCAGAATTATCAGGAAATCGACCACAGAGAGGAAAAACAACCTGCTGTGAGCGTGTCGTTTCACTACGCTGCTGCTACGCTCCAAATACACTGAACCTGTCTGAGAGACAACACGGAACAACGAGCTCAATACGGATCCTGGAGGTTTTCAGCTCAAGAGTAAACATGGACAAACCGAAAGTAGCCAACATCAGAAAATAAAGTTTTCCTCTAAAATACTTGTATAAATATTTGTATTTAATCATTTAATTCTGAGTGTCAGTAGGTCTATTGTTTTTTAAAATGGAAACTTCCCCAGTACGAAGTTGATCTAGACTTTGTAAAGGAGTAAAAATAGAGCTGCATGTTGTTGTTAGATTGGGCCTTTTTTTAATGATTAACTTTAGCTGTTGTTTTCAGAGGAATCCCCGCAGATGAGTGTCTGTGGGAGGTGGACTGGGGCCAGCTGGACAAAGGAACCAAGCTCTTGTTGTTATGCGGGACTAGATACTCTCTGTAGGAGGAGATGGACCTCCATTAGGAAACCAGAGGAGCTCCAACAAAGAGCACAAAGGAGGGGGGACAAAGATGGCGGCCAGAAAACATGATTACACACGGGAAAAGGGGCAGTTTGGGTGATATTTACTGCTAAAGGGGGACTTTTCTGTTACTTCTCACCTCAACTACAAAGACAATGAAAATAAGATGACAGGAGAGTTTAGCTGATCCAGAATAAGGAGCTAAAGGCAAAAAATGAAAGTCCATAATGTCAAGAATGTAGTCCAGTTTTTATGTCCGGGGGAGCTGATGACTCAGTGGTCGAAGCGCCACATGTATAAGAGGTGTGGTTCTGGTTCTCAAGGGTACTACTTTGATTCCCAGTTCTTTGTTTACGAGAGAGTAAATATTATTATGAAGTAAAATTCAGGATCTAAAATGTAAAGAAATATTGAAAGTTAACGATGGATGTCCAGTGTTCGGTGAAGGGTTTGAAAGATAAAAATGTTTTAATTTAGAAAAAAAAAACAAGAAAGTAAAAAAAAAAAGCTATCAGTGTCGAATGAAGTTGGAAAGTCGATAACAAAGTTGGGACGTTTCATATAGAGTTAAACAGTTACATGTATAGAGGGGCATTTAGAAATAAGGCAAGAATAATGGAAATATGAGCAGGTAAAAACCTACAGAACAAATAAACATCAAGTTTTCTTTTGTTTACATTTTGCTCTTTATTATATATATATACAAACATATATATATATATATATATATATATATATATATATATATATAGTATTGTTTATTTACTCTTCACTTGGAAACGGACCTGGGTACTAATTTTGTACCACCTACTGTCAAAAGTGTGGGGTATGACAAATAAAGTTCCTTAAATAAAAACAAATATAATTAAAAAAAGAACATATGTTTAAAAAAAGATTAAAAAAAGAATTTTTTGATAAAATAAAATAAATAAAAATAAATAAAATTTAAAAAGAATGTGTTAAAATCAAATAATAAAAAAATATATATGATTTTTAAAAGATGATATAGGATAAAATTAAAAAGAACATATGTCAAAAATTCTTTTTTTAAAATCATTTATATATGATTTAAAAAAAAAAAAAGAATGTATGATAACATCCCCGTTATTGATCGCGGTACCTTTTGATCACTCTTTCCCAGCACGCTCTCTATCAGCGTCTTACATCATTACCCAGCACGGAAGTGACGTCAGACGCCTACAGCAGCAGCTTAGTGAAGAGGATCCGAACAGAGCGGAGACAGCCGAAGGGAGCAGAGCCGAGCCCAACCGAAGAATAAAGTCTCCAAAATCCGTCTTCATCCGCGGAGAATAAAAGCGAACCTCCTCTAAAAACACCGAGAGCATAAAGTCCACACTTGGAGCTGTCCAACGAGATCGATATTGTCTCAATATGAGGTTATTAAGTATTTAAAACAAAAGGCGAAAGTCTGAGAAAGACGATTGTACCCGGAGCCTTCACACAGAGGGAGAAATCTGTCTCACAGTCATTTCTTGTTTCGGCTCTTTTTGTCCTCTTCGCTTTAAAAACACTTTTTCTGCTGAACTGAATATTTTTTGGTATTTTTGGAGCTAGCAGGGAGCTAGCTGGTCGTCCACAGATCGTGAATAATGGAGTTGAGAGTGGGGAACCGGTACCGACTGGGCAGGAAGATCGGGAGTGGATCATTCGGAGACATTTATCTCGGTGAGTTTAATAAACTAACTCTAGGATTGGTTCGGTTCTGGGTTCATAAATAATGATATTAGAGTCACCAGCTGCGGGCTTTTCCGGGTTTAGGAGCCGAACAGGGGTGCACTCAGAAAGGGGGCCAGGGGGTGCCATGGGCCCCACTGGAGGTCTGATTGGCCCACCAAGGTGTCACCTCAAAATTCTAAAGTGTGATTGGCTGTTTTCTTCATTAAAGGCGGGATTTATGTTAAAATAAGAGTTTGAGATAAAGATGTCTTTGGGTTATTTTCTTAATCCTCTAAACTGTTTTAATGTTGTCTTCTGTTATAACACAGGCGTTCAGGAGATCATCACTAATGACTAATAAACATCATGTTTACTTTTGTAGGTCTCAGTGAAACAGCAGTGTTAATTCAGGTTTAATTTAAACCCTCGTTTAAAACTAAATTAAACCGTCTGTGTGGAGGACGGTGAGTGTCAGCGTTTAGTCTGTGTCAGCGTTTAGTCTGTTTCATCCCGGAGGTAGTTGGATCTTTGCCTATCATCATCATCATCATCATCATGTGAAATTTATTGATCTATGAACCGGTTTATCAATAACAAAGTAAACTGAGAGCTGCTGTGCAACCAAACCTGTTATTAACCAGCTGAACTAATATTTGAATGAAGTCTTTTTCCATCGCTGACCTGAACCCGGGTCTTCACTCACCAACCTGGACCAGAATAATCGTCTTTACTGAAAACATCCTGTTTGATGATATTATTATGATATATTTTTACCAGCCTGCAGTCGGCCGAGGTCGATTTTTATCAAAGAGCTGAAAAAGTATCGGAAAATGTCAAAAAGATACCGTTGTTACTAAAGTCCGACCGATGTGGATTTTTGGGGCCGATGTCGATTATTAGGGAGGAAAAAAAACGATTACTGAATAATCAGACGATTTTTTAAAATTTTTTATAGAGTTTTAAAATTTTGTTAATTTAGGTGACATATCAACATATTAATTTATTTTTTTAAACTCTTCTCAGTGACGTGAACCGCAGTGATATTCCTCGTTTTTATCATGAATCAAACTCCGAACAGAAAAGCGTTTTCAAGATTGTCATGAGGTCACTGTAGCGCCATCTACAGGATAAGTCGGGCAACTTTTCAAATGGTGGAACATTTTCAAAGTGAAAACGAATTTTATTCTCCGCATTTTATTTCCTGAAAATCGTCGAGTTTTGATCGATTACCGATTGATCTCAAACGGGCTAAAATTGGCCGATTCAATCGTCTCGCCGATAAATCGGTCGGGCTTTAATTGTTACACATATTTTTAGAGAATTTGTTACTGAAATTGACTCTTAATCCACCAGTCTGCAGAGATTAGGATAATCTGGATTTTTTCCAAACACGACTCTAAAATGCTGAAATTTGATCCGAGTCACGACTGAAACTGGATTAACGGTTCTAATCTGAATTCTGAGTTCTGGTTCTCCTTTGAACCACCATCACTTCATCAGTAATCCCAGATTACCTAGATTACCTCTGTTGGGTTCACTTTTGCACAACTGGACTCTTTGGCAGCAGGACCGTGTGGAAAGAGTCGATGACGGCGCCATAATTCCTCCTTCCTGTACCTAAAATGACATCATCACCACGCTGTCTGAGAAACGCTCTTTAATCTCGTTAATTCAGTGGATTAATTTCTGATAAAAAGTGAAACACGCCCACAGCTCGCTGGTTTACGTCTCTCCTTCCTGGTGACCCCCAGCTGAGGAGGTTGATGAAATGAGCTGGTCCGGAGCCTGAGGGGGGTGTGTCCATATTCCTGAGTGTCATTAACAGAGAGCCTGAGGCGGCGGCGGCGGTGGCGGCCTATCGATCGGAGAGTTAATACAATAATAGATGAGATAAGTGACCTCTCAGAGGAGCTGAAGGTTGGAGCGGCTCCTCCCTCTCAACACGGATGTTTCAGGATTTTAAAGGTTATAAAATTAAACGTCTTCTTCCGTTGACTCCCACCATCTCCATGGTTGTAATGCGCTCCGCGGCGGCCATGTTTGTGGTCCACAGCTCCTGGCAACAGTGTTTGAGAACAGCTGATCACATTTCTGAGCCGAAGACTTCATCATCTGGACAACAATGGAGAGGAGCCGTGGTTAATTCATGAAGTCCTTTCAGCTCGAACCCTCGCTCACTGACTCACAGTTATCACACGTCCACTCCAGAGAAATTCAGGACGTCTCAATCTTTCCAGAGTCGTTACTCAGACCTGGGTGACGTTTGACCTGTCGGACGAGTCACTGCGGGATGTTTACAGGATCCTCAGGGCGGCTGACAAAGCAAAGTCTGATGTTTTCATATGTGATCAGACGGACGCCTGATGAAAACACGCCTGATAAAAACACGCCTGATAAAAACACGCCTGATAAAAACACGCCTGATGAAAACACGCCTGATGAAAACACGCCTGATAAAAACACGCCTGATAAAAACACGCCTGCAGGAGGAGGACGAGCTGACTGGACACTCACTCTCTGTCTGATATCATCGTCTTTTACTTCCTTCGTCCTCACACTCGCTCATCGTGACTTCTGCCGACATTTACAGGAAAAATCGGCTTCAAACTTCGGCGTTCACACCTGAAATATCCTGTCAGATCTTCAGGTTTTCTACACGTGTGAACGACGGCGTCTGCTGCTGTTATTGTTAGACGTTTGTTCTGTCGGTGTTTTGCATGAGGAAGATGACGTGATCCGAACATCGGCAAAACAAGAAAAACTCTCCATCTTCATGAAAGTGTGGAGGACTTAACTGAACATGGACTCAAAGACACAGAAGAAGAAGAAGAAGAGGACGAAGTCTGAAGTCTGCAGGAAAGAGCGACGGCCTCCTGACTGTCAGTCATGTGATCTCTGAGTTTACTCTGATGTTTGTCTTTCATCGGTGAGCTCAGAGTTTTGGTCCGACTCAAGTTCCCCGAACAGAAAAGAGGAAGTGTGTTTTTTTTTGTTGTTTTCAGCTTCCTGAGGAGGAGGAGGAGGAGGAGGAGGAGGAGGTCTGACTGCTGCTCTTCGTCTGTCTGAGGTCTCAGTTTCACCGTCCTGCTGTCTTTGGGAGAATAAGAACAGATGTGTGAACTCTCTGACCTCTGCACAGACGTGGTGGACTGGGTTTCCAGTCTGACCAGTTCAGAGACCAGTGACCTGTAGAGGTCAGACCTCAGTGCAGGACTTAACTTATTTAACCGTAAACAGAGACCGGGGTTTTCAGGGTCCGCTGTGGACTTTCTCTGACAGGATCAGCCTGGATCTGGAGGATCCAGATTCACTCTGCTTCCACGGTGACCAGGTGATCGTCACGCCCACAGAGCCGTCAGCTGTTCCCTGTGACGTAACTCTGAGGGAAACACTGAAGTTTCAGACGTTTTCAGACGTGGAACATCCCAGAGAAAACGCTGACGGCGTGCGATGATGGCGGGTCAGCTGTGCCATGATGGCGGGTCTGTGCGATGATGGCGGGTCAGCTGAGCGGCTCCGTCTGTTGGGTGATTCTGTGTTTGGTTGTTGGTCGATGGACGGATGAGGTCATCTGTTGGACCGGAGCCTCGTCCTCTGTTGCCCTCAGATCCTCACGACTGTGGAGACGTTTGTTATCTTGTCGACTGTCGGTCCTCCTGATCCGTTTTCTGAGGCGTGTGACGGCGTCGAAACAAGCCTCAGATATCCTGATCTGTCCGTCAGCGGCGTGACCCGGGTAAAGGTCGCTCTGATGAGTCCTGCTGGACTACAGAGGAGCAGACGGACTTCACCTTCTTCTTCACGATGGAAATCAAAGTTCAGACGAGTCCGAGCGGCGCTGAAAACAGACGCTTTCAAAGGCCAATCAGAGTCTGTGGACCTGCGAAAGTCAGCTGAGTGAGCGCAGAGATGACCGTGAAGCTCGTCTGAAGAACCGCACAGAGGTTCTGCTGACTGGATCTGGACCGCCACCGCTGGGATCAGCTGGGACTAGTGTTTGACGGGATGATGACGGTATAAAAGTGTAGAACTGTTGCTCTACCGTTTATACCAGAGAGAGAGAGAGAGAGAGAGAGAGAGAGAGAGAGAGAGAGAGAGAGAGAGAGAGAGAGAGAGAGAGAGAGAGAGAGAGAGAGAGAGAGAGAGAGAGAGAGAGAGAGAGAGAGAGAGAGAGAGAGAGAGAGAGAGAGAGAGAGAGAGAGAGAGAGAGAGAGAGAGAGAGAGAGAGAGAGAGAGAGAGAGAGAGAGAGAGAGAGAGAGAGAGAGACAGAGACAGAGACAGAGCAGATGTCCTCTGAGTCAGTGTGGCGTTGTCTGCGCTCGCCAACAGGAGAGCCGGAGCGCGTCCGTTTGGGAGCGTTTCTGTGTGTCCTTCAGCGTGTTTTTTAGTTCCTGTTCACAAATCAGAGTTTCGGAATAAAAGAGGAAAAAGAACAAATTTGAGAGTTTGTTTATTTTTAAGACTTTAATTTAAAGAGAGAAAAAAAAACTTCCTGTGATCATAAATCAGGACAGAAGAGTTTGATCGACAACAACTGAGACAGACGAGTCACTGAACAAGCTCCTCCTCCTCCTGACCAGAACTAACTGACCTGGTTCTGAAGACCAGAACCAGCTGACCTGATTGAAGAGGCTCCCTGCTAACGAAGCGCACACACACACACACACACACACACACACAGTTTTTCAGAGTGTGTGAGTGTGTGTGTAAAAGGGTCCAACAGCCTCGGTCTGTTACCTGTCTGACTGGCCTTATGTAACAGAGTCTTGGTGTGTGTGTGTGCGCGTGTGTGCGCTTGTGTGTGTGTGAGTGTGAGTGTGTGTGTGTGTGTGTGTGTGTGTGTGTGTGTGTGTTACATCCTGGTAAACTCAGGTGTTGTGTGCTAACAGGGATGGGTCGTCTTACATAAGCGGAGGTTTAGCGCTGTTACAATAACACAGACGTGTTCAGACCGGCGCCGACTCCCTTTACAAACCCGTGACGCCGCCACCGCCGCTCCGTCAGGCTGATTGTGAAACTTTGTGGTTTGACGGTGTGAAGGATGGTGGTTTTTGTTGACGTCAGCGTCCTCGCTGTCATGGAGAAGTCTTCTCGTCGTCTCTGCAGTTTCACCTCCGACAGGAGCGCGCTCAGTCTGAGGGTCCTGGATCAGAGGTCCTGGATCAGAGGTCCTGGATCAGAGGTCCTGGATCAGAGGTCCTGGATCAGAGGTCCTGAATCAGAGGTCCTGCAGAGATCAGCTCCAGTGTTGGTGCAGCAGCGTGTCACATCTGTTATTAAAGCCTCACATGTGAAGGTTAAAGGTTAAAGGTTAAAGGAGAGTTCTTCTTCAGATCTTCTCCAGAATGAAAATCCTTCGTTTGGTCAACAGACTGATTTAATAAACACCAGGAAACATTTCAGAGAGACCGACGAGACTTTAATATTTATGAAAATATAGAATCAATGTTAATAGAAGTTTGTCTTGTTTGTCGCCACAATATCAGAGTTTGAAGGTGAAAAACTCAGAGAAACAAACTCCTGAGCTCTACAGAATCAGCTGATTCTGTTGTTTTTGAGTTTTAAATCACCAAAACACAAACCAACATCAGACGGTCAAAAACAAGTCTGATCACCTCACTGATCATCTAATCTGCGTCTCTCTGATCAATAACTCCTGTTGTCTTTATTCATGCAGAACGATCTTCAGTGTTTCAGGATCTTTGAGTTCTAGTCGACAGTTTTTGGACAGGTCCGGGTCTCAGGACCTGCAGCTGACAAACAAACACACACTTCCTCTTTCAGATGCAAATACGACTTTACGAGCTCTCGACAAAAACACAGAGAGAGAGAGAGAGAGCGAGAGCGAGAGCGAGAGAGAGAGAGAGAGAGAGAGAGAGGTGTGTGTGTGAAACAGAGTGTTCCATGAACAACAGCTCCTCACTCTTCATCTCTGATCACCTGCTGCAGCTTCACTCTGATCCTTTAATAATTATTTAATTATTTAATTAAAGTTAAAATTAGTTTTTTTTTTTATCACACCTGAGATTTTTACACCAATGAGACAAAAACAAACTCTCTGATTTCCATCCAGCCGAGGTGTCGCTGAAAATAAAACTGATCAAGTCTGTGAATGTTCTCAAAGGATCAATAAGAATCAGGTTTGATTTCAGATCGATTATATCGATTATCTTTGAGTTTACAGATTAAAACTGAAAACAGACTTTATGATTCAGAATCAAAACTGACGACTGACAGAGTTTAAAAAACAAAAACAGTTAAAGACAGTATAGATGTTAGACAGTATAGATGTTAGTATAGATGTTAGACAGTATAGATGTTAGACCGTCAGCCTAATCTGCATAGCTGATGTCATCAAACCAAACCTCTCTTTGTCCAATCAGATCAATCAGCCGTCATATTGATCAGGTTGACGTTCTGATCAGAAACGTCTCCTACAGTAACTTTAGTGTCTCTGAGTGACGAGTCTGAACATGATTCTACACAAACTAGTCCAGATAAAGAACACACACACACACACACACACACACACACACACACACACACACACACACACATACAGACACACACACACACACACACACACATACACACACACACACACACACACACAATCACACACACATACAGACACACACACACACACACACACACATACAGACACACACACACACACACACACACACACACACACACACACAATCACACACACATACAGACACACACACACACACACACACACACACACAATCACACACACATACAGACACACACACACACATACACACATACATACACACACACACACACACACACACATACACACACAGACACTCTCTCTCTCTCTCTCTCTCTCTCTCCATTCGCTGCAGGAATCTGTCCTGACCAATCACATTCCTGAGAGAAGGATCTGAACTCTGCAGCTCTGACTGTTCAGACGTTTTCACTGATCGATCAGTTTATTGATAATTGATCGATCTGAACTCTGCAGCTCTGACTGCTCAGACGTTTTTATTGATCGATCAGTTTATTGATAATTGATTGACCCGGTGTTCAGTGTGTGTTTGTGTGTTTGTGCTGAAACTTCGAGTCGCTATAATTTTGATTTATTGATCTCTTCCAGTCGATCTGGATTGAGCGGATCAATACCAGGTTACCATGGTAACACTGATCATCTGGACTTTGGTATCAGCAGATCTCGTGTCTGAATTATAAAACATATCAGCTATAAAATGAGTCATGTGAGCCTCGCCCTGCTGCCCCGCCCACGCCCGCCCGCTCGCTCGCTCGCCTGGATGACATCATTCAGGGAAATCAACGGCGCTCTGATGGAGCGGCTCTCAACCCGAGACTGAACCGAGAGCATGTGTGTGAGAAATGGGATTACGTAACCCGTGTGTGTGTGTGTGTGTGTGTGTGTGTGTGTGTGTGTGTGTGTGTGTGTGTGTGTGTGTGTGTGTGTGAGCGCTCTGAGGAGACCGGACCCCGCCATGACCGTATTTAGGAGAAAGCAGCTGGGCCCCCCCCTCGCCGTATCCCTGCGAGACTCTCCTCAGACCGGGTCGAGGTGATTAAAACGACAACATCTGTGAGCAGGAAAGAGGAGCAGGGAACACTCAGTCCAGGCCCGGGTTATTTTCCCTCTTGGCGAGCTGCGTTTAACCGCCGTTATGTCCGTGTGTACCCAGCTGACCACACGAGTCATGTAGACGCCGTTTTCTGTCACCCTCTGAAATATGCAAATCAGCTCATCATCATATCAGTGTGGACGAACGCATCAACACTGACTCTGGATCAGACAGACGGTTCTGACCCGAACACTCGTCTGTCCGATCAAAACAAATTTAATTTTTCAGTTTTTTAATTTATTTAAAATTCATTTTTTTAGTTTTTTTAATGCAAATTAAACTTTTAACCTTAAAGACGTCGAGTTTCAGACGGTTTATTCAGTTTTAACGTTTTCTGACGTTTGTTTCACTTTAACTTTATTTTTAACTAAAACCATAAAAACGTCGTCGCTGCGGCGCCGCGGTCCCTCCAGTGTTCCTCTCAGGTGGTCCTCACGCGGGTCTTTACGGGTCGAGTCAACAGAACATCTGATCACCTGACACAGAAGAAACTGGCTCTGAGCTTCACCGGGGTGGAGGGACATCTATGTGATCTGTGTCTACGCTGCTCACCTGTCCGTTCTTCTTCTGCAGGTACGGACATCTCTGTCGGAGAGGAGGTCGCCATCAAGTTGGAATGCGTGAAGACGAAACACCCGCAGCTCCACATAGAGAGCAAGATCTACAAGATGATGCAGGGCGGAGGTAAGATCTTCACCAAACGATGACTCTGAACGTTTCTGTTTCATCTGTGAAACTCGGGGAAACGGCGTCCGGCAGGAGAAGAGCGATGAAGTCCTCAGGTGACCGAGGTCGACCTCGAGGAGAGTTAGAGGAGAACAAACATCAGAGAGTCGATTAGAAACAGGAAGTCCAGGTCTGTGCGACCTTTGACCCCTTTATTCTGATGACTCAGCAGAGTAGATGTCTCAGAGTATAGACGTCAACACACTAGATCTGAACACAGTCTTTGACTAACATGATCCAGAGTCTGTAAGTGAACCGACGAGCTTTAAATACAGAGAACCTGTCCCCCCATGTCAGGACGGGGGGCACTGCTGTCCAGACCCAAAATAAAGAGTCCTGAAGGGTCCTGAAGGGTCCTGAGGGGTCCTGAGGGGTCCTGCAGGGTCCTGAAGGGTCCTGCAGAGTCCTGAAGGGTCCTAAAGGGTCCTGAAGGGTCCTAAAGGTACCTGAGGGGTCAGAGGTTTGAGGACCTGCAGGAGGGAAACTGAAGACCTTAGAGGAGAGATCAGACCAGCTCCTCTTCAACACGAGGAAACGTTCATTAACTCTGTTTGATATCCACCTGTGGAGCAGACTGAGCGCGCTCAGACTCGACTCTGTCAGCACACACACACGCACACACACAGACACACACACAGACACACACACACACACACAGAGCAGAGGAGGATTTATGAGGGCACAGAGGCCGACCCAGACCGGAGGACATATTTGAGTTTGGATGTATATAAATAGCTGATGCAGAGAGTGTGTGTGTGTGTGTGTGTGTGTGTGTGTGTGTGTGTGTGTGTGTGTGTGTGTGTGTGTGTGTGTGTGTGTGTGTGTGTGTGTGTGTGCAGAGCGAGGTGCTGAGCAGCAGCTTTTTGTCGCCGTCTGCCTGTAGAAGGAAATGCCAGATGGCCTCTTCGCCACGGCAACGTCAGCCAATTACCAGCTACAACTAAACCAGCTGGCCTCTGTGTGTGTGTGTGTGTGTGTGTGTGCGTGCGCAGACTTGATCCATTTCTGTTCTCGACTGACGAGTTACACAAGAGACGAGACGAAGCAGAAAGTTTTTCTCTGAAGTGGAAAAGTTTGATCGCTGCTTCAAAAAGAGTTTAAAGAAGTTTTAAAAAAGTTTTAAAAAGTTTTTAAAAGTTTAAAAAGTTTTAAAAAGTTTAAACTAATTTATGAAAAAGTTCCTGAAAATCCGAAGGTGAAACTGGAGCGTAGAAGAAAACAGATCTCTGTGTGAGACGATCAGAAGTTTGAGACGTTTGTTTGTTCTTCGTCTTCATCATTAACAAAGTAAAACTGACGAGTCCTTTCAAAATAAAAGTCCTGTGATCCAATCATCGTTAATTATGGGTCAGTGTGGAAATCTTAACGAGGGTTACCCCCGATCTCCACCGCATCCCGAACAGCTACGAAAGATCGTAAACGCTGATCGAAGCCGAACAAAAAACAGACCGTCAAAACGACAGTAAGAGGTCAAAGTTAATCGTATCAGAGACTGGAGGCGGGATCTTGAGCGGGTCAGACTGATGTTTGTGTAGGAGTTAAACCCCGCCCCCTGAATCGCTCTGATCTCTCTCTCTCTGACTAACCTCTCCTCCTCTCGTTTCCTGTAGTCGGTATTCCTACGATAAAGTGGTGCGGCGCCGAGGGCGACTATAACGTGATGGTGATGGAGCTGCTGGGCCCGAGTCTGGAGGATCTCTTCAACTTCTGCTCCCGCAAGTTCAGCCTGAAGACGGTTCTGCTGCTGGCCGACCAGATGGTGGGAGACATCAGGAGGAGGAGGAGGAGTGGTTTTAAATCTGACTTCCTGTGAATGAAACTCTACCTTCCTGTCGTTCCCTCACAGATCAGCCGGATCGAGTACATCCACTCCAAGAACTTCATCCACAGAGACGTGAAGCCCGACAACTTCCTGATGGGACTCGGCAAAAAAGGGAACCTGGTTTACATCATCGACTTCGGCCTGGCCAAGAAATACCGCGACGCCCGAACGCACCAGCACATCCCCTACCGCGAGAACAAGAACCTGACCGGCACCGCCCGCTACGCCTCCATCAACACACATCTGGGCATCGGTAAGACCTCCTCCTAACCCTGACCCGCGCCGTACGACGGCGTGGACAGACTCCTCCTCCTCCTCCTCCTAACCCTGACCCGCACCGTACGACGGCGTGGACAGACTCCTCCTCCTCCTGACTCTGTCCTCTCTGCGTCCACAGAACAGTCCCGGCGAGACGACCTGGAGTCTCTGGGATACGTCCTCATGTACTTCAACCTGGGCTCGCTGCCCTGGCAGGGTCTCAAGGCCGCCACCAAGAGGCAGAAGTACGAACGCATCAGCGAGAAGAAGATGTCCACGCCCATCGAGGTCCTCTGCAAAGGATACCCCTGTACGTCTGACTCAGTCGACTTTAAAACTTCAACTCTTTAACTCTTTAACTCTTTAACACTTTAACTCTCTAACTCTTTAACACTTTAACTCTTTAACTCTTTAACACTATAACACTTTAACACTTTAACTCTTTAACACTTTAACTCTTTAACACTTTAACTCTTTAACACTAACACTTTAACTCTTTAATACTTTAACTCTTTAACACTAACACTTTAACTCTTTAACACTTAAACTCTTTAACACTTTAACTCTAACACTTTAACTCTTTAACACTAACACTTTAACTCTTTAACACTTTAACTCTTTAACTCTTTAAAACTTTAACTCTTTAACACTTTAACTCTTTAACTCTTTAAGACTAACTCTTTAAGACTTTAACTCTTTAACTCTTTAAGACTTTAACTCTTTAACTGTTTAACACTTTAACTCTTCAACACTTCAACACTTTAACTCTTTAACTCTTTAACTTTTTAACACTTTAACACTTTAACTCTTTAACACTTCAACACTTCAACACTTTAACACTAACTCTTTAACACTTCAACACTTTAACTCTTTAACTCTAACTCTTTCACACTTTAACTCTTTAACACTTCAACACTTTAACTCTTTAACACTTTAAAGTGTTAAAGTGTTAAAGAGTTAAAGAGTTAAAGTGTTAGAGTTAAAGTGTTAAAGAGTTAAAGTGTTAAAGAGTTAAAGTGTTAAAGAGTTAAAGTGTTAAAGTGTTAAAGAGTTAAAGTGTTAAAGAGTTAAAGAGTTAAAGTGTTAGAGTTAAAGTGTTAAAGAGTTAGTGTTAAAGAGTTAAAGTGTTAAAGAGTTAAAGTGTTAAAGAGTTAAAGTGTTAAAGAGTTAAAGAGTTAAAGTGTTAAAGAGTTAAAGTGTTAAAGTGTTAAAGAGTTAAAGAGTTAAAGTGTTAGAGTTAACTCTTTAACACTTTAACTCTTCAACACTTTAAGTCTTTAACACTTTAAGTCTTTAACTCTTTTATTTCATATTTAAAACCTTTAATACAAAGAAGGAAAAACGTCAAACATGAGAATAAAAAAGGAGCAGAAAGAAGAAAATTAACTAAATAAAATAAAGAGGAGCTGCAGACAAACACAGTTTTTATTGTTTCTGATCAAAAACAAACTTTAGTTCCTGTTTTTACACTAAATAAAAACTTCTTTAAACATATTTCTCTGTTTTTACTCGACAGACTGACTTTTTAAACTTCTGTTAAAGATTAAATTTAATTTAGTCTCTTTATCTTCTTTAGTTTCTTTAGTTTCTTTGTTCAGATCGTTCCTCAAACCTCCTCCTCTCTCTCTCTCTCTCTCTCTCTCTCTCTCTCTCTCTCTCTCTCTCTCTCTCTCTCTCTCTCTCTCTCTCTCTCTCTCTCTCTCTCTCTCTCTCTCTCTCTCTCTCTCTCTCTCTCTCTCTCTCTCTCTCTCTCTCTCTCTCTCTCTCTCTCTCTCTCTGTAACTCGGCGCTCCGTCTCTTTAGTTCTCAGTCTTTTTAAATATTTTAAATTAGAATAAAATTTTCTTTTTTCTGGATGTTAAAATTTTCCTTTGAGTTTGAAATCGAATCAACAAACTGAAATCTACAAACTCATTAAATTCCAACAAACTTTAACAGAGACTGAGTTTAAAGGACCTCTGATTATTCTGTTAAAGGGACAGTTCAACCTGTTTTAGTAGATGTGGATTAGTCGGACTCCTTCAGGACCCAGACCCAGACTTTGTTTAGACTCGGGTCAGAAACGGGCCGAGCAGGAAGATCAGAACTGCGGTGATTTCCTCTCTTCACTGTTCGGATCCATTTTAAGGTCCTTTTATTTGTTTTTAAGTCTCTGAATGACCCAGAATCTCTGACCTCGTTAAACCGGGTCAGTCCTCCAGAGTCCTGAGGTCAGCTGATCAGGAGGTTTTAGTCCTTTTTCAGATCTAGATGGAGGATTTTCTGTGGTAGCTCCAACTCTGTGGAGCGTTTTAACCTTCTGAAGACTCACCTGATGACTTCAGCGTCACAGGAAGTCGAGCTGCTGCTGCTGCTGTTGTTGTTGTTGTTGTTGTTGTTGTTGTTGTTTTATTCATGGACTGTGTTTATGTTTATAGTTTTTTCTTGTTTTGACTGTGAACCCCTCCGCTCGGTCACTGTCTCACTGTCACTGTCTGTTTCATAAATAAAGCTGACATCGATGTCGACATTGACGTTTGTCTTCTCTCCGCCCCCACAGCCGAGTTCGCCACCTACCTGAACTTCTGCCGCTCTCTGAGGTTCGACGACAAACCCGACTACTCGTACCTGCGGCAGCTCTTCAGGAACCTCTTCCACAGACAGGGCTTCTCCTACGACTACGTCTTCGACTGGAACATGCTCAAATTCGTGAGTTCCATTCAGAGGGGCGGAGTCTGGCAGGAGAGGCGGGGTTTAAGAGTTCTGTAGTCTTCAGCTAAAGGAGACGATCCTGTTCAGAGTAAAACCTGATCTGGACCCTGATCGGGGGGCAGACCGGGTCGACTCGGTTCAGCAGATCTGACCTCCTCATGTGAACCATGGCTGACCTTTGACCTTTGGCGTGTTCTTTGTGTTTGTCAGGGCGCCAACAGAGCCGTGGAGGACGCCGACCGGGAACGCCGTGACCGCGAGGAGAGGCTGAGGCACTGCAGGAACCCCGGGGCCAGGGGGATGGCCTCGGCCTCAGGGAGAGCCAGGGCCGCTCAGGACGTCGCCGCCCCCTCCCCGCTCAACCCCACCTCACACACAGGTCTGTGCACGCTCACACACACACACACACACGTGCACACTCACGTGTCTCTAACCTCCTTAAATCTCACCCGCAGGTTTGGAGAAGGAGAGGAAGGTCAGCATGCGTCTCCATCGTGGGGCGCCGGTCAACATCTCCTCCTCAGACCTGACGGGGCGCCAGGACACCTCCCGCATGTCCTCACAGGTAACACACACACACACACGCACACACACACACAGACACAGACACACACACACACACACACACACACACACACACACACACACACACACACACACAGACTCTCTTCATCAGTGAAACAGAATCAGGAGAAAATCACTGACAGTTTCTTTATTTTTGTTCTGAGATGACATTTTTCCTCGTTTGTTTGTTTTTCAGTTTGTTCTTTAAAAAAGGGAAACGTAGAGAAACTGTCCGTCTCTCCGTCACGTTCAGATCAGTTTCAGGAAACTAAACCAAACACTTCCTGTTTCCCTGTTCCCCTTTTTTCTGTCAGAGAAAATAAACGATTTTATAAAATATCAACGACGACGAGGAGGAGGATCTTTGTCTGAGGAGCTTTAAAACATCGAAGTTAAGAGAGCTGAAAGAAGACGTGAGAGAAAATTAAACTGACATTAAATATTTACATCAAAACAGATTTAATTGTTTTTATTCATGTAAATATTCAGAGTTTAAAAATATCCTGAATAAACTCAAACTTCTAATAACTGAGTGAGTTTGTCTCCTGATCCTCTGGAGAAGATCTCCTGTCAGCAGAATCATTTTAGTTTTAAGTTAAAATAAAATTAAAATCTCTTTGAGTCGGACCGCTCCTCATCCTCCTGACTTATCAAACTTACAAAAATGAACGTTCAACAGAATCATTTTAGTTTTAAATAAAGTTAAAATAAATTAAAGTGTAAAAAGATAAAGTCTCCGGACCGCTCCTGTTTCTTCAGCTCTTTGTTCTCCTGAAGGTCAGTGGCGTCCTCTGGAGGTCAGACGGTGAACTGCAGCCAAAGTCTGTCCAAGTTTGATCTGTGTGTTTGATTGATTTTAGAATCATTGATCAAATCGATCAGGATCAGGTCTTATTAAGTTTTTCCTGATTTCATAGTTGTTAAATAAACTGATGTCAGTGTGAAACTCGAACCCTGATGAATAATTTTTATTTATTTACACGTTTTAATAAAAATAACTGAAAATCACTGACTGTGGCTTTAGTTAAATCTTCTGTCGTCTGTTTTTTTTTCTTTCAGGAAGTTCATTAAAAAACATGTTTTAACAAATTAAAGTTTAAAGAAAAAAAAAGTTCTGTTTGAGATTCTCTGTCGTGGTTCATGTGGACTAAACCAGACCTGGTCTCAGGTCTCACTGCTGTATGGGTCTCAGGAGGTTCTGATGGATCTAAAGGTTCCTCCTGTTGACACTGAGGGTCTAAACCCTGATCCTGGACTCAGACTCGAACCCTGATCCTGGACTCAGACTCGAACCCTGATCCTGGACTCAGACTCGAACCCTGATCCTGGACTCAGACTCGAACCCTGATCCTGGTCTTGGACTCGAACCCTGATCCTGGTCTCTGGTTTTCTGTCTCTCCAGGCTTTATCCAGAGTCACACCCAGCGGCCTCCAGTCTGCAGCTCCACGGTGAAACCCCCTCCTCCTCCTCCTCCTCCTCCTGCTCCTTCTCCTTCTCCTCCCATCCACCCGTGCACCATGGAGGCCTGAACACGCACCACCTGCAGCACACACACACACACACACACGCACACGCACACACACACACACACACACACACACACACACACACACACACACACACACACAGAGGACGACCCACAGACACTCAGGAGTCTCCTGAACTCTTGTTCCCTCAGAGGAGTCTGTGTGTGAGCGAGCGAGAGAGAGAGAGAGAGAGACGGTGGGTGGAGTCACTCTGGTTGCCTTAACAACCTTGTCAAACTAGCAGCCACACCCCCAGCTCCTCCTCCTGCTCCTCCTGCTCCTCCTCCTCCTCCTCTCTCGTGGCGGTGAAGTCATGGATCCTCTGACGTTTTAATTTTTTAACTTTGATTTTATTTTGTTTTAATTTCTTCGTTTTTAGCATTAACCTCCTCGGCTCCGATCGGCGCTCGGCGAGTTTGTCGGCGGTCGGGAAAGTGTGTAAGACTTAAAATTTTAACGATGAGAGCGTGGAGACTTACGGTGGCGGCGGCGCTCCTGAACGAGTCGTCACGTCTCTCGTTTGTCGGCATTAAAGGTTAAAATGTGAAGATGTTTTCAGACGGTCTCCTCCTGATGCCCCGGCGGTCCAGTTTCTGTTCTTCTGTCCTCAGGATGTCGTCGTAAACCCAAAACCAGGCGCAGGTTTGCTCTTCAGGTCGTGACGGCGGTGGGCCGCTTTGGGAAAATGGAGGCGGTGAATTTTTGGGGGGTGGGTGTGTCCGCTCTGGATGGATGATGATGTTTTTGAATCGTGACGTGGCTTCGTGTGCGTGTTTGTGTGGTTCTGTCGTAGAGGGCGGGGTCAAATCTTTGAAGGGGAATCAGACCCGTTTGTTTCTGAGCACACCTGACCGGACGCCGTTCTTCCACCTGGACCTCTCAGTTGGTTCGCTGGTTCTTGTTCAGTCTGATAAAAAAGGTCCGAGGAGTTTGTGACCCGGTTTTAGTCGTGGAGCGGATCTTCAGAACTTTTCTTACGCTCCAGAACTCTGACTCCTGACCTGCAGAGGTGAACCCGTCCACGTTCACTCCAGATCTGAGATCTTTGACCTCCTGATCGTAGAAAAACTCGATTCTTAATTTCGTAAATAAATTTTCACGTCTGCAGACGTCGAGGTCGTCTGTTCGCACCGTCACAGGTGAGGGCGGGGCCTCTGAGATCCAAACCGGGTCGAACCCCCAACCATGTGAGCGCTTCAGGAGCTCTGCTGTGTCTGCAGAAAGAACGTGCAGTTAGAGCGCCCTCTGCTGGACAAACGCTGTAACTAAAATAAAACACTTTTCAATCTTCGCTGGTTTTTCTGCGTCGGTCTGGATCTCACAGACCAGGTCTCAGGATTTCACAGACCAGGTCTCAGGATTTCACAGACCAGGTCTCAGGATTTCACAGACCAGGTCTCAGGATCTCACAGACCAGGTCTCACTGACCCGGCTGTCTGAGACCCGGTGATGGATGTGCCGGTCCAGGTGGAAACAGGTGTGCCCTGAATCCTGCGGCGTCTGAAGATCCTCCGGGTGTAGACGGGCTGAGACGTGCGCTCGGCTGTTTTCTGTAGTTTGGGGGGCGGGGCTTAGTGGTGATGTGTCCATGTCTGTTCTGTTGTTGTGTATAGGATGTGCCTGCTCTGATGATGATGATGATGATGATGATGATGATGATGATGTCTGCTGGGACGGGGGCGGGGCCTCACTCCGTTTCTTTTCTTCGTCCTCTTCCTCACCTGTGAGCTTGAAAAACTCGATGTTTGAGTCTCTGACGGCGGCCGTGATGAACGCCAAGTTCACGAGTTTGTGTCCGTCTGCTCCTCCTCCCCCTCCTCGGTTCCTCCTCCTTCCCTCCTCTTTCCCTTCCTCCTCAGTTCCTCCTCGGTTCCTCCTTCTCCTCCTCCTCCTCTCCTCGGTTTGTTTTTAACTGTGCGATGGAGATGTCTCTCGTGTCCCACGGTGCGTCTCTCACCGTGGACTCATGGTAACCTCCTCCTTCTCCTCCTCCTCCTCCTCCTCCTCCTCCTCCTCCTCCCTGAGACTTGACTCCTCCTTTGTAACGCCACTGTATTTGTGTATTTTAAAACTGTAAATAAATTAATAAGTACTTGTAAACGCTTCTGTCTTCATTGATTCTGCTGCAGTGACTCCATCTGACCACAGGGGGGCGCTGTGGGTTAACCTGTGCACCTGCAGGCTGCAGCTCTGAGGACAGTTATACAACTGTTCCTCTCTGAGCAGAAACACAGGGAGGAGGACCAGAGGAGGAGGTCTGGACCAGGTCTAACTGGACCTCCTTTAGTGGGGGGTCTGTCGAACCTCAGGAACCATCATCGTCCCCCCTCCTCCTCCTCCGACACATAAATGTTTTTATTACAAACTCGGGAACCGCCCACTCCTGCTCCTCCTCCTCCTCCTGCTGCTCCTGCTACAGGATTGATGCTGTTATATCACACTAACACACACACACACACACACACACACACACACGGGAGGGGGGGGGGGGGTCAGGCAGACCTGATAATCAGGACTAATGACCGACTGTAACAGGCTGTAAAAGTGTGAAAACTGAACTAATGAGTAAAAACATCAAAACAGACCAAAATAAACAAACATCAGAAATTATTATTTTTATAGATTTAAATTCAGTCGAGTTTTAGAAAGAGTGCTGATCCTTTTCACTGTTTAGCTGACCCTGTTCAGGTGTATTTTCAGGTGTGTGTTCAGCTGTACTCTCAGGTGTGTGTTCAGGTGTACTCTCAGCTGTACTCTCAGGTGTGTTTACCTGTCCAAAGTCTCTCTGCAGCTCGTGTTTAACTGCATTAATGATGTAAAGTCACGGACGGATCTAAACTTCTTCAGATTAAATCTAATCCGAGGTGGTCCTGTTGGGTCGCCCTGACCCGGTTCAGGTCCTGCTCCCTGGGCTCACTGGACCCTCACACAGGGTCTCATGTCAGGAATCCTGGTTTAATGATCGATGGTGATTTTTAACAAACAGGTCAAATGGAGCTTTTATCAGCTGAGGATTCTCACCAAAGTTAAATCCTATTTAAATCATTTACTATGTTTATTTACACTACAGGTCAAAATAAGATTAGTCCAAACAAAGATCATAGTTTCATAAATATAATTTTAAACACAGTAATCATGACTGTTGTGTAAAGAGTAACTGATCTGAAGACATTCTGACTACAATTCTGAGGTATTTGAGTTTTTGTTGTTAGACTGTCTTTAAAGTTACCTCCTCTGGCTTTAACAACAGCTCAGCATATACCAGGCATTCATTCACCAAGTTTTTCTAAGGTCTGTTCCAGGGATTACATTCAAGCTTTCTTAAGTTCATTAAAAAGAGACGCTGATTCAAGGGACGAGTTTTTCTGACCGATCAATCCAATTCATCCCGCACAAGCTCAGTTGGAGAAAGGTCTGGAGACTGAGGGGTCCAAACCATCTCTTGAAGAACACCTTCCTCTTCTCTTTTGTCTCGGTAACCCTGACAGAGCTCGGCAGAGAGCTTAGGGTCATTGTCTTACTGCAAAACAAACTGATGAGCCACAAGTCTGAGTCCAGATGGAGCAGCATGGTGCTGGAGGATGGAGTGGTACCGTTCCTTCTTCGTGATACCCTTTACTTCAAACAAATCTCCTACTCCATCACCTGATAAACATCCCCATACCATGAACTACCACCTCCATGCTGAATTGTGGGTGTAACACATGGAGCTTTCAGACGTTCACCAGTTTGTCTGCAGACATAGACTCTGAGTTTGGAACCAAACAGTTCAAACTTGTTTCTATCATCATTAGTCCAATTTTTGTGAACTTTTGTCCACTCATATCTCTTTTTCTTCTTCTGTGGATGAAGTTGTGTTTTTTTTGCAGATACACAACCCTTCAGACCAGCCTTTCTCAAACGTCACGGTTGTCAGAGATATGGGTTTTGACCTTGTCATGTTGATTTCCTCCCTTATTTTTGGTGCTGTCTTTCTCCGATCTCTCTTCCTGGTGACGATGCTCTGTTTATCCTCTGCTTTTGTAGAAACTCTCTTTGGTCTTTTTCTATCATCAGAACTTCCAGGTTCCTCTCGTCTCTTCAGAGTGTAGTCGACTCCTTTGTTAAACACCTTTAGGCCTTTTTCTCTTTCTGTGTTTCTTTCTTTCCTCGATGTACAAATCTGCACTTTAGTTTCTTCACTCAGCTGCTTCTTTATAACCATTTCTGCGGTAGTTTGAACACAGTTGAGATTTATTAGGATTTAATTTTAGGATTTTTACAACGTCAACAGAAAACTGTAATAAAGAGAACTCTAATCTTTGAGGAGAGAGAGGAGAGAGTCTGTTTTTACTGAGGGGACAAACGAACAGAGAGGAGAGTGTTTCTGCTTCTGGACTAACTCTCCTCTTTCTCTAACCTTTGTTGTCGCCCCCTGGTGGACATTGTAAAGAAAGCCGCCCCTCCTCCTCAGTCCTCTCTTGTTCGGTACAGTCTGTTCTCTGAGGGTCAGTGGTCGGAGGGGCTTTAGGACCCTGCAGCAGCCCGGAGCGCCGCTGACGCTCTGCAGGCAGACGTGCGGACAGGAACGCTCCGGAGCTGCTGAGGAGTAGGAGGAGGAGGAGGAGGAGGAGGAGGAGCAGCAGCATCATCAGGACCATCATCAGGACCATCATCAGGAGCCGGTCAGAGAGGCAACAGTTAGTCCGCGCGAGAGCATCTCTGAGAAAACAGAGCAGGTTCACAGGTGAGAGGTCACGTGGAGCTGACTGATCACCGTGACTCTTTGATTATCTGGGACCCCCGCTGACATATCGCGTGATTGCCTGATTTCGGTGCACGTTCCGACGCAGGACGGCAGCAGACTGACGTCCACGGCGCGAGGAAGGTGAGACAGCTGATCTGACAAAAACAGGTTATAGAGACTCTATAAGGGTGTGTGTGTGTGTGTGTGTGTGTGTGTGTGTGTGTGTGTGCGTGCAGACACCTGCTGAGCTGAGATCATGTCAGTTTATGTCGTTTAAATCTGTAACTTGTTATAAAATCGAGTTCGTTAAAGAAAGTGGAGCAGGTGATGGAGGTGCTGCAGGTGTTTGAGATGATTTTCTCGTTAATTTTAACTCCGTTTGTTTTCAGACTCACAGTTTATTAAAAAAGGACGTGTTTTTTTTCAGCTCCACTCTCTTTAAATTCTGTCTCTAAGTTTTCGCTCCATCGTCTGAAACTCGTCTTCTTCTTCTTCTTCTTCTTCTGTTTTTAATGATTCGACTGTTTTAAAGCTTCCTTTAATCCCCACAGCAGCCCAAACACTGCAGAGGTTATTTAGAACAGCTGAGACAGCTTTAACTCCCACCTGTCATTCAAAGAGGCCACGCCCCCTGAACATTAACCTTAATATAATAATAATATAATAAGCCGTACAGATGTTTGCACCGGGCTGTAACCATCTTTATCTCTTACAGCGGAGTGTTGGGGTCACATGAAGAAGAAAAAATTAAGACTTGGAGATTAAAGTCGCTAATTTACGAGGATAAAGTCGTAATAAAGTCGTAATAAAGTCGTAATAAATTAATCACAGGAGTGAAGTCGTAAGAGTCCCATATTGTAACCTGCTGTTTAAGAAGACAGCTGTTGAAATAAGAGAACATTTAATTAAAATCTACTTCTATAGAAGTTTCTCAAACACGGAGATACTTCATCTTTCGGTAAATCAGCACATTATCATCAAGATTTAATTACGACTTTATTCTTGTAAATTAACGACTTTAATCTCAAAGTCTATTTTTTTATTCTTAATGTGACCCTAATACTCTGTCGTAATTTCTACTGTTCAGTTTGACATTTTAATATAAAGATCTATGGGATTGACTCACTCTTGGAGTCGGCCTCTAGTGGACGTTTTAAGAACTGCAGTTTTTAGTTCCTCTTTGTAAACTTGGTTGTTTGTTTAAGTCCCATTTTTACCTCTTCAGGTGGAACGTGATGTTAATTTACAACATTAACTGTAACTCTCATTAAAACATGGGGCTCTGTAGGGAGCAGCTCACTTTTGGGGACAGCCTCTAGTGGCCTATTTAGGAAGTGCAGTTTTTGGCACTCATACATTTTGTCTGATAACGTCTCGGTGTAACCTTTAGTGTCAGCTCTGATTTGATGGTCAATGTCAGGACTTAGATGGGAGGACTTTGGAGGTCGTGACCGTCTGAGTTCCCGTCTGTTTGCTGATGAGGACGGCGGCGTGATTTCACGATCCTGGTTGGATGTTTGTGTCGGACTGTCTGACTGCTAAGGAGACTCAGAGGACTTTTATTTTGTAGCTGATATTAGAGCCACAACAATAACTCTCAGAGTGACTGTGGGATATTTTCAGATACACCGACCCTCGGTGAAATAACGCCGCAGATTTCCCCGAGGACACAGACTCTGGTGGTCGATAGTTTGTTTTTAGGCCTGGGGATGAAATGATCGTGTTTCCCAGAGACGCTGGATTCCTGTCTGGTTTTTGGCCTGAGCCCAGGCTGCACTTTTACCACAGGTTGTATATCAGCTGATGGAGCCGGCGGACGTTTCTTCACCGCCGAGACGATCTCGGAGTATTTTTAGTGCTTTTATTTGTAGAGTCAGGACAATAAAACCACCCTGACCGCTCTCCTTTTCATGATTTATGCACCTCTCCACAGATATGCAGATGGCGCTCTTTTCTGCAGAGCTAATGAGATGTGTGATTGTAAAAAAGAGACATGTTGGATATAAATCAGGGGGCCAACAGAGGCCTGTTACAAAGCATGATGGGATACAGTCTCTCTTCTATTCACACAGGCTGCTTGTAAATGTTCTCAGGCTGGAGATAAAGATCTTACAGTTCAGAGTTTCTTTAAATTCTTTAAATTCAGATCATTCTGAGTCTTCAGCTGTTTGAGGTCATTTACTGTTATATTTTCAGTCTCATTTGTGCTTTTATTTTGAAATATTTCACATGCAAAACTTCAAAACCACTCCACATACATCCTGCACCGAGCTAACCACGGTCACCAGGACACCTACGGAGGCCCAGAGCAGCCACTGCTGTAGATAAAAAAGAAAGAGTGCAGATTAAAAAAAAGGACAATGGAAGTTAACATGGTAACATGGTCTAAAAAAACGACACATTAAAAAGTTTATGAAGTGAAATTAATCAATAACCTTTCCACCATCATCTTTGCTCGTCCTCTCGCCGTCGTCTTCTGGGCCGTTAAACTTCATTTGTGGCTTTTTTTCTTTCCTTTTTTTTATTTGGAGCGGGCTTTTCTATTTTTTTGTGCATCAGTGATTTTCCGTTATGATTTCTTTTTTTTTTTAATATTCGCAGCAGGGGCGGTTCTCGGCCACCGTAGAAACCAGATAAAAATTTAACTTTGCAGAAGTTTGAAACAGTGAGTGACTGCGGTGTTTTCATGTTTTTCCTCATTCATGATGGAGAGCGCCCTCTCCTGGACGGACCTGCTGCTGTCTTTGGCCTCTCCTGCAGCCCTCCTGTGTTCGTGGTCTGAGACGCTGAGGGTGGGGGGATCAGAGGGGCCGTCTGTGTGGTCCTGAGCACTAAAACACATTATAGGATTGAGGTCAGGGTCTTAGGATCACGTCGACTCAGATAAGGCGGTAAGATGTTCCTGACAGACTGACACGTTGGTATGTTTACCGCCTGTTTCAGAAACACCGACGCTGTGAAAACGCAGAGTCACTCAGGATGGCCACGCCCTCAAATAGACTCAGACGGCCGTTCACCTGCGGCGTCGTCACCTGTCCACATGTTAGTGTGTGAGCGTGTCACTCCAAACTGACCTTGAACCCGGCGCCTCCGTCTCCTCCTCTCATCAGGATGTTTGTTCGTGTCTCTCCGTCTGGCCCCGCCCCTCCCCGCTCTCAGCTGCACTCTCACATCTTCTCATTATTGGAGCGTTTTAATGAAGCTCCCATGAGGCCGTCAGCTCTGTAGCTTCATCTCTCAGTTACTCTACAGGGCGGCGGGGAAACTGTTTGGGTGGCGTCTTCTAGCGTCTCTGATGAGGTCATGGCGATATGATCAGCTGATGTCGATGAGATCAGGTTTGACAGGAATCAGGTGAATATTTTCTGTTTTGGTAAATAAGTGTGCAGAGCTCGGCTGGTTCCTGTAATCGATGGTTATAGAACAGCTGATTCGTTAATGATCGACTTTAATGATCCGGCTCAGATCTGCGTCTCCTGTGGGTGCGGTCTAATCGCTGGTCTGAGTTAATGAACTGAATTAGACGCACTCACTGAGAAACTTGATCTCACTGCTTCTTCTTCCTGTCAGCTTCTCTGCCTGCCTCCGTTAAACACAGCCCCGGTGCATCATGGGAGGCGTGGCGGTGGACACGGACGCGGGGGCGGTGAAGGCTCCAGACGGAGGGTGGGGCTGGATGGTGCTGGTCGGATGTTTCGTCATCACGGGTTTCTCCTACGCCTTTCCCAAAGCGGTCAGCGTCTTCTTCAAGGAGCTGATCCGAGAGTTCGGGGTCGGGTACAGCGACACGGCGTGGATCTCCTCCATCCTGCTCGCCATGCTCTACGGCACAGGTGAGTACAGGTGTAAGGGGCGGTACGGCGGCCCTGAAGGTCCAAGTATGATTACAATCATGTGGGTCTCTGCAGGTCCTCTGTGCAGCGTGTTGGTGAACCGCTTCGGCTGTCGGCCTGTGATGATGGTGGGCGGACTCTTCGCCTCTCTGGGGATGATCCTGGCGTCGTTCTCCACCAGCATCATCCACATCTACCTCTGCACAGGTGTCATCACAGGTGAGTCAGCTGATCCTTAAAGGCGTGATCGACCATCTGAGCTTCAGTTTAAAAAACTGCGTCCTTCTCCATCACAGCTCCTGTAGCTAAGCTGCTACGCTACTTTTAGCCGCTCAGAGCTCCGAGGAGGGCCGGGAGAGTGGGAGGGGACGAGTCAGAAACACAGGGAGGCGATAATTTTTTATTGTAGGATGGTAGGAGAAAGTCCCGCCTCCTTCGCCTCTGATTGGCTCGGAAAGCTGGAAACGTCATCACATGCTCAGGCCGAGCCCGGGCCATCGGCTGTGAACATCAAACAAAACATTATCGCACGTCTAAATCTCCAAACCTGACAGACGATGACGTTTCACAGCCATAAGGAATAACCAATCAGAGCCCAGCTCTTCTAGCCAATCAGAGGCGAAGGAGGGCGGGACCTTCTCCTGCCATTCTACAAAAAAATTGCCCACGGGAGAGGGGTGTGTCTAATACAGCGAGGTGATTGGATGGAGAGGTGGAGCAGGAGATTGACCAATAGGAGCTGTCCGGGACGGATGGCTCCCATTGGTCCATGTTTTTGCAGCCCTGCACCTGATAGGGTGAACAGATTTTTTCAGATATTTTTTCTCTTCACTTTGTGGAGATCGCACTATAGGACCATGATCGCCATAGAAACGAGGTTCATAATAATTACCGATCTCTCCAGTCGTTAACCACGACTTTACGAACCTCCTGAGTGTTTCTGCTGACCTCAGCGCTCGGGGTCGGAGTCTGAAAAGGTTTGAGCTCCTCGTCGGTTCTTCGTGTGTTCAGACGGTCCAACATAGTTTCAGGTCTGAGTCTGAGGAGATGAGGACCATGATCCTGACCTGTTGTCCCCCTTCTGCAGGTCTGGGTCTGGCTCTGAACTTCCAGCCCTCCCTCATCATGTTGAACCGTTACTTCAGCGAGAAGCGTCCGCTGGCGAACGGACTCTCGGCAGCAGGAAGTCCCGTGGCTCTGTGCTGCCTCTCGCCTCTGGGACAGGTGCTCCAGTACCAGTACGGCTGGAGGGGGGGCTTCCTCATCCTGGGGGGTCTGCTGTTGAACTGCTGTGTCTGCGGCGCCCTGATGAAACCTCTGGTCCCCCCAAAGACTCTCAAACTAAAGGAACCGGAGCATGGCGAGGAAGGAACCGAGGTGACGAAGAAGAAGGAGAAGAAGCCGCTGCTGGACTTCTCCGTCTTTAAAGACCGGGGGTTCGTCATCTACACGGTGGCGGCGTCCATCATGGTCCTGGGACTGTTTGTGCCCCCCGTGTTTGTGGTGAGCTACGCCAAGGAGATGGGGAACGAGGACACCAAATCCGCCCTGCTGCTCACCATCCTCGGCTTCATCGACATCTTCGCTCGGCCGACGTGTGGCGTGATCGCCGGCCTGAAGTGGGTCCGGCCTCGCTGCGTCTACCTCTTCAGCTTTGCTATGATTTTCAACGGAACCACAGACCTGATCGGATCACAGGTGGGTTCACGGTCACCCTGGAGAGGACCGGAGAGTAACAAGGATTAGTGTAAAACCTCCTTCTCTGTCCGTCTTTCTCGTCTCCAGGCGAAGGACTACAACTCCCTGGTGGTCTTCTGCATCTTCTTCGGTATCTCCTACGGCATGGTGGGCGCTCTGCAGTTTGAGGTCCTCATGGCGATCGTTGGTACTGAGAAGTTTTCTAGCGCCATCGGCCTGGTTCTGCTGATGGAGGCCATTGCTGTGCTGGTTGGACCACCTGGTGCAGGTAAGACATCCAAAAAATGAGGGTAAAACCTGGTGGGTCACACCTTCGATGTGGTCCAAATCCAGACCTTGGTATCCAGGTCCAACCTCTTAAGTCTGGATAATCAGGGTTTGGTGTTTTACCAGAAGGTACCACATAGTCCATGACAGGAAGACTAACCCGGGATTTCCACCGCATCCGGAACGGCTCCGATCCAGAACGGCGGCGATTTTCATCGTCCGCCAATTCCTACTAGCTCTGTTTGTGAGGCGAATTTCGTGGCAGATTTCGGACAGCGGTAATCGTGAGAACTCACAAGAACCCGCAGATTCACGTTCAATCACTCGATAACAAGTCGTCTCTCTAAAGACAGACACATAGACATATAAGCAGTAGATTGTGTCCTTCCAGAGGAGGAAATCTACTTCTAGACTTCTAGAATCAGCATCTCCTCATCCATGGTGTCATCGGGGTGAAATGACGTCTAAAAACCTTTCACTTGTTCGTCTCCGCCCGTTTGCATGGTGTGAAATACGATCCTCCTGAAACACGGAGTGTTTTATTTTGAAAAGAAGCCGGATGTTTTATTTTGAAGTCTGTGCCCGACTTCCTTTCCAGCACGGGTTAATCTGTGCTGAATTTATCCGCCATGCTCCGGCGTCCAGAAAAAATAGAACT